AAATCCCGAACGAGTTATTACCGACCCCTTAAAGTTTTTCTAAGCTTACTTCGCCGTAATACTATACCTTCTTAAGCCTCGGAAATTATTTAGCTTTAATATAGTTAGGAACGGCGCCTTCGATCGGGCGGCGTACGCGTTCGGTTAGTTACGGTAAGTATAGGAAGACGGTAATCTCGAGCGTAATATAACCCCTTAGTTTATTTACTACGTCGCGTTAATAAATTAATAAAATAGCTTTAATTACGGTTTTTAAAGCGGTATTTTACCGTATCTTATCTTTAAACGACCGATCGAGGTCGCGCGCTAGGCCTAAGAGAATAAGGGCCTCGATTCCTTTAATATTATAAGAAAATACGCCGAAGTAGTAGAATAATTTTATAACGTTCGGGTTTTAAAAGGAGGGGTTAGTATCGTTAAGCGTTTCCGGTAAGCCGTAGATTACTAAAAGCGAATTAATCTTATTAACGCTATAGCGTCCGCTTAAAGTACGCCGATCGGTAAGCCCCCTAGCCGTAAATCCTCCGTCCGTTCGATCGTATAAGCGGAGGTCCGCCGTTTCTTTATAGCCTTAATATCTAACCCTTCTTATTTTCTAATATTAACGGACGTAAACCTCCGCTACGATAACCTCGTTAAGGTTACGACGCGTCCCTTCCCTCCCCCTAGCCTAGTAAGGATTAAAGCTTTTTAATCCGGGAAAACCTTTATACCGTATAAGTAAAGGGGAAATACCTAATTAATCCTTAAGACGCGCCCGCTCTTCTACTATTCCCTTAACTAAGAAAGCTAAAACGAAACTAAGAAAAAGGTAGCCGAAATAAAGAAAGAGAACGCCGATCGGGTTAGATCGGTAAGGGTAAACTAAGCTAAGTTAGCTATAAAGTAATAAAATGGCTTCCTTATAATATTAAACGAAAAGTTAAAGGCGCGGCCGTAGTAATTAAATAATAGCCGAAGGAATGGAGTTTCGTAATAATTTTTAAGTAGAGATATTAATCGGGATATACCGTACTATCCTTTTTAATTTAATTATTCCTTACGGTATAATTAAACTAAGAAGGCTATAGTAATACGGTAAGATATACCTTCTTAATATATTACGGAATACGTTACGATAGGCCTTATATTTATATAAAGTAACTATAGCTTCCGTAAGTACGGGATATATTATGCTTATTATTTAGTTTATTACCTAGTTAGATTACTATCTTTATTATTTTTACCTTAATTAAAGATTCGTTTTTATTATTAGATCCGTCGTTCTCCGATTAATATATTTATCTTAGTTATAGGCGCTTAAGTTACCTCGTCGTATCGCTATAACCGAATAAGTAACTTTTACGTTTTATTCCTTTTCTTTCCTTATCTCTTATACCTTTAGGCTAGCGACTATTATATCTCTACGACTAAGGGGTATAGCTAAGATACGATAACTATATTAGATTCCTTACCTCTCGATTAGTATAGCGATATTAGTTTTATCTATCTTAGATTATCGTACGTATTATAGTCTCCGATAGAATATACTTTCGAATGAATATATCCGGGTCTCTAGTATCGCGTACGCTCTGCTCCTCCTTAGCATGGCAAGAAACGAGTAAATAGCTATAGGTCGTGATGTCTATAGGTCTAAGTCTAACTAATGAAAATATAAGTACGCGACCTATATAAATACACATCGAAAAGGCTACGTGGCCTAGATCCACCGCACCACTACAATAAATAACGTTAGCAAATATTAATTAACGCGGAATAAAACTTATATATTAACCGAAGATTCGATACGGGCGATAATAAAGTAAATAGCTGATAAAACCAAAGCGTCGGCCCTATATAAAGTTAGCTTTAAACCTCGACGTACGGGAATAAGAATACCTATAAAAGTACGTAAGCGTAACCGGATAAATAGCGGTAATAACGGCTTATGCTTTAGAAAAAATCGAAGTATTCTTTAATAAACTTATTCTAAGCCGTATTACGTATATAGGTTAGGTAAAGGACTATACGGCGAGCTCCGTACTGTAGTGGTGCGGTGGATCTAGGCCACGTAGCCTTTTCGATGTGTATTTATATGGGTCGCGCACTCATATTTTCATCAGTCAGACTTAGACCTGTAGACATCACGACCTACAGCTATTCACTCGTTTCTTGCCATGCCTTTCTAGCCATCCTCGTCTTTCCCTTTTCCAGCCTCCTTTCCCAGCTGCCGTTTCAGCTGGCCGATCAACCGATTACAGCTGTTTACAGCTGTAATCTTGGTTGATCGGCACTGGGCCAGTTGTTGGCAGTTGGGCAGTCCTTTTCGTGCCTCCATCACAGCGTGCCTACGCTGCTCCTGTTCAGTACTCTCGATTACGGATAACCGAGGTAATTCCTAAGGCGGCGGTAGTAGAAGTTAAAGCGGCCGGCGCGACGGAGGTATTAAACGGAACCGCCGGAGCGGCCGGGCTAAAGGAATTAATAAAGCCGGTAATTATTCCGGAAACCGATAAAACGCTACGTCCTCGTCCTTATCCTCGTTCTTATTTTACGATATTACTACGGATCGGAATAATAATAATAACGGCCGCTTAAGTTACGCGAGTAATAGCGATATTATTAGAAAACGTAACTTAATATACGCGAGTTTAGGCTCGGATTTTACGCGGGAAAACCTTACGAGTAATTAATATAGCCGGATAATCGCCTTTTTCGATTACTTCCTCGTATAAGGAAGGGAAATCTTCCTCGGAGGATTCTTCCTTAAAGGATTCGTCGGTAGAGACCTCGATAGCTCGGGATACGGTACCTTAATAAACGCCTTAACGGACGTAAATAACTAAGGCCTAGATACGTTACGCTAAGAAGCTAGGTATAATTATATCGACGTCGCCTTCGTCGATAAAAGGATCCTTAAAGGATTAAGCGATAACTAGAGCCCCGGACCCGGGAGTAGAAAATACCCCTCCGCGGCGAGCTTAACTACCGGCCGAAGTTCTAGCGTTACCTCCCGTACGTATACGGGAGATAGGAAGCTAAATACTCGCGGCGGAAAGGCCGAATACCTTTTACTTTAGCAAGGCTACGGTACTTTAAAGCGTTAATATAATCTTACGAAGCTCTTAAGTATCGGATATATTAAGAAATCGTTAATTACGGTACTATATTACTACCGGTAAATAACGAATAAGTAATAAACGAATTATTTTAAATAACCTCTTATCTATTAATATAAAATAATTAACGGTCGCTTTATTATCCTAGGATATTTTAATATTAAAAATAGCATATTAGTTATAAATAATAATCCTTACCGCGATAGGTTAAGTTACTATCTTACGGTCGCTTAATAAAAGTATATTACGATTCGTATAATACGCGAGTTACGCTTTACGTAAATTATAAAGAAAGTAGACTTACCTTACGATAATAAATTAACGAAGCTTTATTAATTATATTAGCTTACGATTACGTAATTAATAGAATTACTTAATTATAGTTAGGTATATATACCTATAATAAATAACCTAGGGAAGAAAGAAAGAAAGAGAGGTACGCTTAATTCGAGAGCGAGAAATCCTAGATATATTTATACCTAACCGCCTTTATAAAAGAAACGGCAGAATCGGTTAATATAGGTAACGCGCGCGACCGCGCGCGATAGTAATAAAGGAGATTAAATCCTAATATTAATACTAAAGCGATTACTACTATATTATATATATAGCTAACTACCGCTTAATCGAAAGCGAGTAATTATACAGATAATTATACGAGTAATTACGCTAATAATTATTTTTATTTATAATAGATTATAGAGTATTAAGTAAGGAATACGAAAACTATATAACTTAAGAGAAAATACTATTAGTAATAAACCGGAGTATATACGGATAAGGGGATATAAGAAAGCCCGAAATAGGGCACCTAGTAATCGATTAACCTTAACGAGGTATAGCGAGACTAGGGAATAACCCCCTTAGGCTACTATCGCGAATAAAGGACTATAGTTAACCTTACTATCGTAAGCTTAACTAGAGGATATGTTACGTAGGCATATACTTCTAATAGAAACTACCTAGCTTACCTAAGCTAATTAAGTATTATTATATATACCTATAGATCGCTCTATACTCTCTAGTAGCTTTCCTTCTTTTCTAGTTAATTAATATATACCTTCTTACCCGCATTTCATTACTCCCTTTACGAATAACCTATTAACCCAAGCTTAGCTCTCGCTAGCTACGTAATAAAAAATTATAAAGTTCATAATCTAATTAAGTAAGAATTATAGTTTAATTTATACTTACAGAAGCTATAGTTGCTTTATATACTGTAGTAGTGCGGTGGATCTAGGCCACGTAGCCTTTTCGATGTATATTTATATGGGTCGCGCACTCATATTTTCATCAGTTAGACTTAGACCTGTAGACATTACAGCCTACAGCTATTCACTCGTTTCTTGCCATGCCTTTCTAGCCATCCTCGTTGCCCCTTTTCCAGTTCCCTTTCCCAGCTGCCGTTTTCAGCTAGCCGATCAACCGATTACAGCTGTTTACAGCTGTGATCTTGGGTTGATCGGCACTGGGCCAGTTGTTGGCAGTTGGGTAGCCCTTGTTTCGTGCCTCTATCACAGCGTGCCTACGCTGCTCCTGTTCAATACGAATAAGGCCTATCGTAACATATTATATAATATATTAAAAGAGTATATCTTACTACACTACTATAATTTTTATAAATTTTCTTTTGTAATTTCTTACGTCTTTTATCTTTTTTATAATGCATAAAGTTTGTAGGCGTAAAAGTTATTATTAAATAAACTAAGTATATTTCTTATATCTTTCTCTTCTCTAGATAGGTTATTATTTTCAGCGTTTACGCTAAAAATAAGCTCGAATTATTCTACATAATAGAATACTTTAGACATTATTTTAACTTAAACTATTTATTTCAACTAAGCTAGGTTCTAGTATGAAGCTTCTCTTTACAGCCATATGTAACCACGCTTGTGCGATTATATAAACTATAAATTACTTAATACTTAATCCTTTTACCTATTTTCGACAACTGACGGTCTCTCTCTTTAATTAAGCATGTTAGTAATCCTGTGTGTCCTTCCTTCTCGTTTACCCTGGCCTTCTCGGCCGGGTACCTGCTTAAGGACATCGATGCCTAACTAGCCCCGTACTCTATCGGACATATCAGTCTCAGGAAGAGGCGCGACGGAGTTTCCAATTGCATATCTCCTCCCTCCCGGATATACGGATGGCCATGTTTCCGACAAGGCCCGTTACATACATACGTAAATACCTACCTACCTACATACATACATACATGAGGCAGAGCAAGGAATTTCCAACAGCTCTTACTCAACCGTCAAATGAATTCCTTGTCGGCCGTTTCACCCGATCGCCTAGGCGCGTGCGAATAGCCGGGCGTCTCTCCTCAACCTGTCATTTTCTTCTACGCCGTCGCCATTTCAGAGCACCACCACCATCACCACCGTCACCATCACCATCACCAGCAGTAGCACTAGCACTAGCATCCATCCGGTGTGCGTTAAGAGGGGCCACCACTTCCGCCCCCCTGTCCTGTTTGGCATCGTCCAAGTTGAGGGGTTCCGAGGCTCAGGCAATCGTTATCCCCGACCGATTCCATCCAGCTCCTGTCCCGTCCCACCCGGTGTAATCCGGGGCGCCGCATGATGGACACTCGGCCCGGCGGGTACCAGACCAGCGTCTTTCGCGCGCAGCCGGCCGAGGGACTTCAACGCAAGATCCAGAAGCGTAACCGCCCTCCCGTCTCCTGCCTCCTGTGCCGCACACGCAAGTGAGTTTGAGTCCCCAAAGGCTCCGGGTATTGTTCTCACTCATCACCTGTCCTCCAACAGGGTGAAATGCGATCGCCAGCAGCCGTGCGAAAGATGCGTCAAAAGTGGCGAGGCCAACTTTTGCGAGTATGCTCCGCGTGCTTCACGTAAGCCACGCACTGATTCGCGGCCGCCGGCAGATGTGAGGTCGAGGCATGAGCCCATGTCCCGCCCCGTCCTCCAGGTCCGCCTCCAGAAGCTCGAGGAGATGGTCAACGGCTTGATCTACACCTCGCGGGGTCGGGAGCATACCCTTGACACCCCCTCCAGTTCGGACCAGCGGACGGAGGCCGAGACTCGCTCCGACCTGAGCTCCCCGCCGAGCTTGGCGCAACCGTGCGGGTCGCTTCTCCCCACTTCGCTTGGTGGTGAGCGCAGTTATGTTGGTGCCACGCACTGGGCTTCCATCCTTGAGAGCATCCACGACATCCAGGGGATTCTGGAGACTGAGGCGGAGGCACCGCCCACTCCCTCCCCCTCGCCCCAGAGTATGAACCCGGATAGCCCCGACGTCATATTTGGCAAGCTGCCGCCCATTACTGTTGCGCAGGCCGTCGCCCGTTTACCTCCCCGGACCAAGACGGACCAACTCATTTTGGTTTATTTCCGTCACAAATTCACGACTGCGCCGTACATTCATACAACCAAATTCCAGAGGGAATACGACAATTTCTGGGAAGACCCAACCACCACCAGCCTCTTGTGGGTCAGTTGTCTCGCCTCTATGCTGTGGGTCGCGTCATCGATATCCATCCTGAAGGGTGAGTCCAGGGGCGAGGAATCCGATGTGGCCTTGCCCGAGAAATTGTTTGCGTTGGCGGCTGAGTGTCTCGTATCCGGAGACTACTTATCTGCAAAGCCTTATTCCATCGAAGCGCTCCTGCTACACAGTTACACGGAGTTGCAAAAGAATAGGGAAATCGACTCCAGCTTGTGGGCTAAGTTCGGCCTCGTCGCTCGACTTGCGCAACGCATGGGATATCACAGGGATCCCAAGTATCTCTCCAACGTCACACCTTTCGAAGGTGAACTTCGCCGGCGGGCTTTCTTCTTCATCGAGGTTTTCGACGTTCTCTTCTCCTTCCAGCTAGGCATGCCCCCAATCATCCGTGATGACGAGTGTGACACCGAATCCCCTAGTAATCTCTTCGACTCAGACTTTGACGAAAATGTCACGGCCCTACCTCCACCACGACCGTCTACCGAGCCCACATCCACTTTATACTTGAGTTACAAATCGAAGCTCTGTCGGCTACTACGCCGAGTAATTCGCTTCGCGCTCTCAATCCAGCGACCACCATACGAAGAGATCGCCAAACTAGACGATGAAATCCACCAGTATCACGCTCAAGTGCCCCCTACGTTGCAGATCAGACCCATACGCTCATACAGTTTCACAGACCAAACCTACGATATCATGCACCGACTCATGTTAGAGATGATGTACCTAAAAAGTCTTTGCGTGTTACACCGACCGTATCTTAGTCGCGAGAAGGACAATCCCCGGTACGACAAGTCGCGGAATACGTGTCGAGACGCGGCCCTTAGAATCCTAGATCTCCACGCTGAGTATGAAGAGGAGAGCAGGCCTGGGGGTAGGATACACGAGGATAAGTATATGCTCTCGGCCTTGACTCTTCACGACTTCTTGATCGCGTCGATGATCCTATGCCTCGACCTGACCGAAAGTTTGCCGAGCAGGTCAGTCCACAAGTGGTGGCGACGACGGTTCTTGTTTGTTGACATCTATTTAGTCTTGCAGATCGATCGAGGAAGTTGAAGGCCTTGGGGACGTCATACAAGATGTGGTCCGAGAGGAAGCAAAGTTCCAAGGACGCGGCGCATGCTACTCGGGTCGTGGGTGCTATCCTTAGGAGAGTTTCAATGCAAGATCCCGCCACGAATCGTTCGCCGCCACCGCCGCCGCCAAAGCCCGAGGTGCGGGATGGCTCATTAGCTAGCCTGCTGAACAACGACGTCCAGCCGGTCGCCGATCCGTTGCATGCCTCATTTGCCATAGCAATGCCCCCTATCGATTTCTCACCAGACTGTCTCAACAACTTGCCACTAGAGGACATGCTGAATGGCCACAGCACCGTTGACTGGGTAAGAACAGTAGTCCTCAGTGCTTGACCCCTTTTGTGAGGGGGGGTAGGGGGAGAGTTGGGAAGAGATGGGAAGAGAGGGGCAAGGGTGAACAGCGAGGCGAGTTGGTGTTTGTTCGCTGACACATCGACAGAATGCTATTGACCAGTTTCTCCTAGATAGGCCCGACAGTGGGTTTAGGACGCTGGCCTAGCTGCTATCACTATACTACTAGTGCTGTATCTCGAGACTAGGGCCATACACGGCACCTGTGCAGTTTCAGCGGCCTATAGTTCGCATCCGGTATGTACGGAGTCTGCGCGTTAGTGGCGAGTCGCCTGCTCACCACGTCTCGAGCGCGTGCCTAGGTACCTACTGATTTTTAAAAGAGCCAGCGTGGGACGGATATACGTTGCGTTGCACTACCTTGTTGTTGTCTACTTGCATCTCAACACAATTACCAAACTGTCGTTTGCATACCCCCTCCCGGAATTGCCCCCTCCCTCCCGCCGTCTGACGCCGCCTCTCCGCCACCAAGACCGTGTACATTTGATGAATATTTTGAAGTCCATGTTGGTTTTTGCTTGGCGGTTGGTCGAGCACGTTTTCGTCCCTTGATCGATTAACCGAGGGGGGAGGATAAGAAGAGAAGGGACGAAGTGGGACGAAGTGGGATGATAGGAAGAACAGGAAAAAGGGGAAGACGAGGAATAGGAGGCCAGCTTGATGCTCGCGAAATTTGTACCCACGGCGAACGATCCACAGCTAACCTCGAGAACGCCCCCGTCGGCCTGAGAGTTATTTCCGCGCCGCGTGCATAGATCACGCGTGGGCGGTGGACTTCCTGATGGGGGAGAGAGTTTGGAGGTTATCGTCACGAGAGAAATGGGGTTGGGTCGCCTGCTGTGTAGGTATGGGCCGTCGGCGCAGGTGTGTTCAGCCAACAGGTACGCTGTAATGTATCGAATTCCCCTTGGGGGTCCTAGATGAGCTAAGTAGCGAAGACTACCAAGTAGCGCTGTTAGGAATCGAACCTATCCTTCGTTAAGTAACCTACTGATCTGTCCTAATACGTATGCCTTATGTGGAGTGTGTTTAGACTATACCCTTCTCGCAGGACGGCAGATACCGCTACTATCAGGCCGGGATCCTTTCAAGAGACATTCATTCCTCCCAAACCTGCTGGGCGAAACCGTACCAAACTCGTACCCTAACTAATATATAGTTCCTCGAGCAGAAGAGGTCTAGGTTTTGACTTGATTTCGATAGATTATATATACAAAACAAAGGCCGCGTGCAGCCGCATAGTTTGGACTGGCAAAGCTAGCAGTGTGCACATGTATACAGTTTAAATGCAGGCTACAGGCGTAGTCGGATATGAGGTACGGAGGTTACATGCGATGTATGTACGTGTAATTTGTACAATAGGAATGTCGCGAGTATACTGGCGCTCTCAGTTGGCCTTGCTCGCTGCTAGACAAGCGGCCTACCCCGTCGGTAAGGGGTAGCCCGGTCTGTTTGTCCAACCGTCTAGACCATCATCGAGGATCAGCAGAGCCTGTATTAATAGTGAGCTGGCTGCGGTCTCTGTTGCCTGTGCCATCTCCCGGAATGCGCTGATACTTATACGATATGTTGCGACGCAAACTCCGGGCCCACATGTTCTGCAGCAGCCTTGTCACCAAGGCCTGGTCGCTTAGGTCTTCGGGCTTGCCACGCGCCTTTTCCAGCATCTCCGAGACCCGCACCCGCTCCATACGGCTCAGTCCGTTGAAGGCTTGTATCGTGTGCGCGTTCCACTGGAAACCGGCCTGCTTCATGTGCTGAGTGACGCTGACCGCGTCCACTATGTACCCGCTGCCTAGAAGCGTCGCGATGACTGTGTTCCAGGCTACGAGGTTGGGGTTGATACCGGCATCGTTCACCATCATGTTCAGAGTGGAGATGACACCTCGGGGGTTCCCGTGCTTTCGAAAGCCGTTCATCAAGATCGTGTAGGTGTAGATCGATGGCGCAGGGTGAAGCTCGTTTAAGCCAAGCTCCTGCTGCTCCCGCTCGTGATCTACGATCATGTTCTCGACCATCTGGATGGCATGGTCGAATGTCGGTGAGAATTGCAAAAAGCAGTGCAAGAAAGCGTCATGGAACACGGTCCCTTGGTCCTTGATGACTTTGAGCACGACCCGATCACGAGTGTGTAGGAGTCCTAGAAAGTAATTGTAGGCGCGGCTCAAATTTTCCGTGGTCCGAATACTCCGGATATGGGCCCTCAGCATCAATCCCAAAGTGATACTGTCCGGCTGCATAAGTTGGACTTCCGGCCGGGGTCGCAAAGGAGCAACTGCCCTCGCCGCCTTGTACGGTGAGATGGACTCTGAAACGACTAGATGTTCCAACGGGAACGCAAATAATCTTTGTAAAGGGGCGAGAACAAAGAATTTCGCATAGAGCTTTATCATGGCTCTAAATGTCCTTGCTCGGGTTGTCTGCAACTGTCTTCGCCTCCTGTCTCCTTCGTACTCGGTCTCTTCGTATAAGAAGTCAAGAAGATCGTTCAGTAGGACCGGAGTCCACTCCCCGGACGGCTCAATTAGATCGATGACACGCTCGAGAGACTCGATATCCATATTGTGTTTCGAACCATCGAGAAGTATCGAAAAGACGTAAGGATCCGGCGTAATGTTATGTTGCGTTAGCACTTCAAATATCTTCCACGCGGTGTCGAGATGTCCCCGAATGCAGAAGTTCCGCATGAGTGCGGAGAGACTCAGGAGATTTGGACGAAAGCCGGCATCCAGGAGTAGTTTGAGCAATACATCTGGATCCGTGTGGCCTTGCGGTAAGGCGCCGTTCTTCTCTACCGTGAGAAGGGTAGTACAGACACTGGCAGCCGCCGGCGAGTTGATATCGAACTGGGGCTTGCTCGAGAGAAAGTAAATAATCTCTGCAGCCAGCTGTTTGTACTTCGCCTCGCGAGCGAATCGACTTGCGAAATGCAGAAGTGTGCTCATCTGAAGCGGGTGTTCAACCTTTTTCAAGGTCTGATAGAGGCCACTTGCACTCGAGGTAGGTATTAAGGACAGGACCTTTTGGATCACCATTTGCTCTAGGGAGAGGTACCTCGGCGGGCACGTCTTTAGGAGAAATACAACGAGTTCGGCAACTTCCATGTGGCTATCGTGGCTGGCTTGGAGAGCGTCTAGAGCTCGAAAAAGAAGGTATACAGAATCCTCGACGACATAGCTTGGACACCACGACGATTCGAAGGTGACCTGGATAAAGCCGGGTACGATGCCGGGATTTGAGCGGAACGCAGATAATATCATCTGCGGCCACAGGAACTCACGCCTCTCCTGGGCTACCCGGTGCCACGCGGCCTGAATCGTATCTAAATCTTTCCTGTCGAGAGAACTCCACGGCCCGACCTGGGGGGAGGCAGCGCCACCTTGGGCCACGGAGGGCGAGTTATTGGGTAACAAGTTCTTGAAGCGGTCTTTCCAAAAGAGATATAGGTCGAGCCGTTGTCCGCCTTCGAAAGCAGAACGCCCCCAAAGCAACTTCTTCAGCTGGCTGACTGCATGGCGGGCTTCCTCATACGACAGACCATACATATACATCAGGTCCTTGGAGACGACCCAATGACTCCCGAGTGCTCGCATGATTTTCGATTTTAGGATGTACTGACTCTCAGCTGGTGGTTCACGTAGTAGCCGACCTACGTCTGGCCGGTTTTCAGGAACGTACTTCTTTAGTTTTCCCTGCCACTTAATAGTCGGCTTCGCGTTTGCGGTGGAATGAAGAGGTTTCGGTACGTGATTTCTGTGGTCGTCGGTAGATTCTTCCCAGACTTGGACCGCCTTCTCCTGTCTGAGCTCTCCCGCTATATCCCACATTGGTGGCGCTGGTGATGATGGCGCAGCTTGGGTGTGCAAGTGCGAGGTTTCGGTCTTGGATCGCCTAACGCGAAATTGCGCGAGACGGACTAGGCACTGGCGACATACGAAGGGCCTAGTCATCGTCTGGGGGAAAAGCCCGTCATCAGGTATGGCTGGGAGGAGGGCTTGGATCGTCATGCGAGTGTTGGTCAAGGGATTTCCGACGCGGCAAGGGGATCCATCGCCGGAAAGGGGCAGTGAAAGGGGGTGCCCGATCTAAAGGGAAGATAAATCTAGGGCCAAGGCTAGGCCGAGGGCCATAATAACCCACAAAAAGACGAGATGCATGACATGCGCAAATGACAACAATAATAATTCAGGCAAGGAAAAAAAAAGCGGTGAAGAGGCCGGGTAAGGGGGAGATTGTCGCAGCGCGAGGTAAGGCAAGGTAGAGACCAGGGCCGAGAGGAGTTGAAATTTGACAATAACTACAGTGCATCAATAGAGGTGCGGGTTCTAGGTTATACCACATTCTGTGCCGCAACTAAATTAGGCTTAGCGTAATCGCCGCTTTTACTTAGGCTCGGCTTAGTTTATAATTAGTTAGGTAACTAAGGAGTTATATTTATATAATATTTATATAGAAGGAAACGGTCCTTAAAACGGTTAAGCTTTAACCGTTAACGAAATAAAGTAACGTACGAAGCCTTATTATATCCGTATCATTTGGTTTAATTTTATATACCTTGGACCTAAAGTAGCTGCTAATTAGTTTTTATACTAAAAAGGAATAAAGCGTACGCGATATTAAAATCCTAGATAGCTTATTTAAAAGTATACTTTATCGGTAACTATAGTACGTACGATAATTTAAGATAGATAAAATTAATATTACTTTATTAATCGAGAAACGAGGAATCTAATGTAGTTATCGTATTTTAGGTATACCCCTCGGTTATAAAGATGTAATAGTCGCTAGCCCGAAGGCAAAAGAGGTAAGGGGAGGAAAGGAATTAAACGTAAAAGTTACTTATTCGGTTATTACGGTACGACGAAGTAACTTAAGCGCTCGTTATTAAGATAAATATACTAATCGGAAAACGAAGAATCTAATAATAAAAACGAATCTTAAATTAAGGTAAAAATAGTAAAGTTAGTAATCTAGCTAGGTAATAATTATAGCATCGTCCGTACTTACGGGAGCTATAATTACTTTATATAGGTATAAGGCCTATCGTAACGTATTACGTAATATATTAAGAGGATATGTTTTACCGTATTATTATAATACGTAAGGTAAAAAGTTATACGAAATATTAAACTACTTTAGAAAACTATATACGAATAATCCTTTCCGTATAAGTATTAATCGCTACGATAGACTTAAAAACTACCTACTATCTTAATTATAGCTTTCTTATAATCTATTATAGTATGGAATTACTAGATTAAAACGCTATTAAATAAAAGCCGATAATTATTATTATATTATTTATAACGTTTCCTTTATTAGAAAACTACTTATATCGGTATTTAAATATACGATATTACCCTCGTAATTAAGGTAGTCCTTTAAAGTAATACCTCGACTATCTTTAGTAAATAAAAACCATACTTCTCCCGGGCCCGAATTATTACGCCATACCTTCCTTAAGCCTTCGATAATAAAAGAACGCCGGTAGTCCCGAAATCTATCCTAATTTCCGTTTTTTCGGATAAGAATTTTTATCGTTCGATTATCCTATACCGGATCTAGCTAGCTATTATCGTTTAGCTTAAGCCGAAGGGGATCCGAAATAAAGGTAGTTAAGGCCGAGCTCCTATTTATCGCTAACGTTATTTAAAAGATAGCCTTAGTCTTCTCTTTCTTATCTCGCTAACGCTAGACTTTAAACGTTAGGTTTCGCTACCGAGGTACTAGCTAATCTCTTATTTCGTAGTTTTAACGAGGAGTTAGCGCGGAAACCCCGCCCGCGTAATTAAAGTCTCCTAGATCTTAATCTTCCTTACCTATACCTATGTTCTCGTTTTACGTATTAATACTCCGATTAAAGTCTTTATTTATATCTAAGATTTATTAATTCTATATATTACCGCTTCGGCCGTAAACGTCGTATTAATCGGTATCCTACTTATTACGTAAGCCTTAAAACGCCTAAAAGACGGACCTCCGGATAAATAAGGAAGAAATATCGATATCCTTTTATATATATTTAATAAAATTATCCTATATAATATATAACCGGTCGTTAGAATAAGCTTTCGAGTATTAGCGATTATATCGTCTTTTAATTAGCTCTCCCGGATACGAAGTAGTAAGTACTAAATAAGCGCCTTTAAATATAATAAGCCGCGCTTTATTAAAACATCGAACTATAGTAGCTATAGAAGCGTTTAAGTTCTATTTATAATCGAAGTATTATAGCGGTCGAGCATTTATTAACGCTTTTCTAACTATTTCTCGGTCCGGGTTTAAGCGAGAAAAACGAAAGATCTCGTTAGAATTAAACCTTAATTCTTAGGCTCGGCGTATTAATTAATACTAAGCTTTTTAATTATATAAACGGATTTTTAGGTCCTTTTTATTATCTTCTTTTAAAGGGTTTTTACCCGAAAGCTTTACGAGGTCTTATATAATAATAAGGTAAAGGGACTTTATATTCTTTAGAAAGTTAATCGTATAACCTAATCTCGCGTCGGTTTTATATACGTTAAAAACTATCGTTTAAACCGTAATAAGGAATCGGTTCTTCCCTAAAATTAACTACCTTATAATATTAATATATTATCGTAAGTATTTAAAATCTTACTATAATATATAAAGTATTAGGATTAAATAGTCGATTTATAAAGCTCTTTATAAGATACTTTCCTTATCGCGTTTATTTATAACGCCTTGAAATATTATATTCGTCCGTATTATATTAGATATATAACGATCGTTATAATGCGATATACCTAAGGCGCGGAGTTCGAGTTCCCGAATTATATCGTCGTTTATAAATTCGAGCGTAGCTTTAGACCTTATTATATGGTACTATATATCGTATATGCGTTTAAAATAATAAATAACTTCCTAGGAAGTCGCGAGTTAATAGCCGAACGTTTATATCCCTAGGGGGGAGGCGTTTTTAAATAGCTCTAGAATAAGACGTACCTTTACTACGTTTTTAGCTATAATCTTCTTCTAGATAGCTAATTAAAGCCTAAAACGTAGGCCCGGGATTTCTAATATATACCCGAGAATAGGTTTAAGTTATTCGTACTTAAGTAATTTCCTTAGTATTTTAGGTTTACTTTTACTTAGCCTCGTTTATTATTTATTTCCGTCGATCGAATTTAAAGGGTAATTATAAATCTTTATAACTATATATCCGTCGGAAAACTACCCTTCGTTTACGAAATCCTCGGCTAAAAACCGGATAACCTCTAGCGAAAGGTCTTAAGAGGGAATTAATACCGACTTAGCTTCTAGTCCGGGGTAGTATAACCTACCTACGTATAACTTAATTATCTACTAAGGTAATAAACTTTTCGATCGCCGAAGCGCTTTTACGCGATACTTCTTATAAAAATAACTAATATACGTATCCGTAAGAAGGTAAAAGGTAGGTAGCTCGGGGTTATATAAATTAACCGGGCTTAAGTTAAATTACTATAGTAATACGGAAAGTAAATCGATAGTAATATTTCCGGGGATAGTATAGCTACTATTTAAACGATCGTATCCTTTTCGCTTAAAGATCTCGATAAAGCGGTTAGTTTTTTTAATATTCGACTCCCCCTTTAAATCGAAGAGGAAATAATCTAAGGAAATCTTAATAGTTCCTCGGAATTTTAACGATATTTCGGCGTTTAGCTACTATAACCGAGCCTTTAGATTAAAGTATATTATTACGAGTTACGTATCCTAAATTTCGTATACCTTACGGGAGCCTCTTTATTAAAAGCTATATAATTCCCTTTAGTTTTTCGCGAGAAGCGTAAATCGCGGATAGTCCTACGGTTCCGAAACTAAATATAGGCTAAAAGCGGCTACTCTTAGCTACGGTTTATTTTTATACTTATCTTTATCTCTTTTTATCCCGTTAAAAAAGAAGTACTAATATAGGATTATATCTCGACTCGAGTTAGGTACTTATATAATTATTATCGTTTATTCTTAATCCGAAATATCGATTATTAACCGGCATATTCTCTTCCTCGACGACGTTTAATCGGGTAATAAGCTAAAGTTAAACGTTCCCGAGCTTACGTTACCTTATCGTAAAACGCCCCGGTAATAACGCATAATTAATTAGGACGCTTATAAGGATAAAGGTTTTACCGAAGCTAAACCGGCGTCGACCTATCGCCGATTTTCCGTTAAATATACGAACCGTAATAATAACGTTATTCTTATTCCCGTATTAACGGAATCGCCGTAGAGTTATTACGAAAGAAAGTATCGTATAAGATATAGCTATTTATTCGGGGTTATTACTTCTCGTAATATAGCGAGCTTAAGCTTTATAATCCGTACTATTTCCGGACGTAATACGGAGGAATATATTTAAAATATCCGCTAACTTTATTACTTTAACCTAGTTAAGAATATCGAAATATACGCGTACCCGGATATAAACTACTTCTTAATTTCGGAATTTATACCTATATCTCTTCTATACCTCTACCGGTCTCTTATTTATCCGATAAAACCCTAGCTCGGTTCTATCCTATATTAAGTAGATATTTTAGCGCTTATATAGACCTAATCCCGGCTAATATTCCGTAAGGTCCTTACGGGTCTTAAATTTCTCCTTAGTTATAGCCTAGTTTATAAAAAGCTATCGTATACGAACCTTCTTATAAGTTTCGTAAGCGAGGTAAAAATTTACGACATTAAAAATTATAGGCGATCGGATAGTATAACTAAGCTTTTAATATCGTTAAGTAAGGTAATAATAAAGCTTATAAATAAAGAAAGGGCCGAGACGACGGCGATTAGCTTAACGTACCCGGATAAGTAATTATACGAGGCCATTAATTTATTTATTACTATAATAATAATACTAAATATTTAAAAGCTATCGGCTTACGATTTCTTACTTAAGAAGAACTAGGAAGAATTATTATAACTAATCCCCTTTATACTTATTACTATAAACCATAATAAAAAATAGGAGCATAGATAGAAGATGGATAAATTACGTATATTTATTTTTACTGCTTTTACTTCTTACTCCTTACCTAATAACGCCTTAATAAAATAATTCTCGTTCTTTCTTTTATAGATATAATATTTATATTCGGTAGACGTTAAAATAATATAAAAGGATATCTACCGATAATACGAAGCTAGTTTTAATTTACTTAAGAGAAAAAGTACCGTAGGCGCTATACTTACGTAATTAACTAATAGAATAATACTATAAATAAAAGGCTAAAAAAGTCGGCTAGGATATAAACGGAACCTCGCTCTAGCTTTTATTAAACGACCTATTCTTTAACTCT